ATATTTTAAAAAAACTTCATGTGACACGAATTTCGAATTTATTTTCACATATAGAAAATCAATTGATGTGACATGTCTTGTGACTATTAGTGAGTGACACTTGACCCCCTGTAGATCCGCAATGTCCTGCGACTGATATTAATATGACACTTGATCTGCAATGTCCAGTGATTGATATGTAATAATAAAAAACAAATTTTGGTTACGTTAAAGCTAGAGAGACCTATTCTATCAACTGACAGAGAGAGCTATTTTTTTAAAAGGTAGGATAGAAAGTTACTTCTATAAATACAAAGTTTAGGAGGTGCACATTATATAAATTATTGCCATATTTTAACATTTTTTAAAAAACAAAAAAACCCTTTTTTTTATCTTTTGGTCAGTCACGTGTTACATGAGTATAAAAAAGGAAAATCAAAAAATTATACGCGTCAATTTCTTCTCTTGATGTTTTTGTTGTCAATGGATAATTCAGAGAATTTGTACAGAGAACATGAATTATTAACTGAACATTTTGGATTTCTTCCAATTTCTATAATTGATGATATTATTAATGTTGTTAATGAAATTATATATGCTGCTCTTACTGGAATAGAAGTTTTCGTTGGAAAAGAATTAGGACAAGTGGAAGAAGCTGCACAGGTTCATTTTTTTAAACTTTGTAATTTTCATTAAATTACATTAATATGTATATGTGTATATATATATATACAAATTACCACCTACCTATTTCTAATTTGTTAAAGGGAATGCATAAAGTTGAAACGTTACTTGAGAATTTGATCGATCGAAATTATGAAATTTTTGAAAGATATACATTAGACAATATTTTTGCTATACGTGAAAATGTTCAAATAACATTAAATCACTACAAGGTTGATATTTATTTTCAAAGAGTTGTATTTATTTTATAGTCTGTGCAAAATATCATATAAATATTATTGTTTGTAAAAAAAATAAAATAGGGATTGGATTTTACAATAGATCAAAGTGAAGAAGATAAAATCGATAAAGAATTAAAAGAAATGAGGAGTAAAATTGTTATGGTAAATATAGATATTTAAATATTACTATTACTATTGTTATTAGGGGAAAAAATTTGTTGACTTTTATATATTTTTAATAATCAGGCAAAATTTGCAAATTACAAATTAAAAAAAAAATTAGAAAAAACCAAATCATATGCCGTTTGTTTTGATAATTGTTTAAAAGGATCAACACTTTTTACTAAGTTGGAAAAAGATCATAATGGTATTTCATTTAAAAGATATTATCATCATCATTAAAAATATCAAGTATAAAGTACTAATATAAAAACATAATAAATAGTTTTTCCTGTAACAGATACATTTCAAAATATTCAAAATCAAATAATTAAATTAAAAAACAATCTTAGTAGATTATATGAACACACTAATAATGGCAATGATGATAATAACAATCGTAAAAACTATAATTTATATATTAAAATTGAAGATGAACGAGAAGAATTTATTCGTAACAGAGCATCAAAAATTGTTGAACAAATTAAATTGAAAAGAATACAAGTAAATGAAGATGAAGATAATAATAATTATAAAAAAAGAAAAATTGAAGAAAATCCTTCTGCTAAAGAAAATGATGAATTATTAAAAGAAGTGGATGAATTAGAAATCCTTAAAACAATCTTTAATCTATAAAAATATTGTGATACATGTTATTAATTATTATTTTTGCAAATAAATAAATATAGTTATACAATTTTATTTTTTAAAAAAATTTTTAATTACCAAAAAAATATTGTATTCTAGTAATTAATATTAATAATGCAATCATTATTAATATTAAACAATTATAATTGTATGATGTAATATAATTTTATAGTCCTAACAAAACTACAATATGTAAGAAATTATCAGGATAACAAAGATTTTGAGAAGCCCATACTATCGGAATATCTAATTGTGGGATTATACCATGAATAACAGGTGCAGCAAAAGAACTCTCATTTGATAAAGGTTGTGATGATGGAAAAAAGTCCGGAAGGATATGGTGTAATACATTTCCAAGCGTAAGTTGATGACCTATATATTTATGTATGTATGTGTGAATTGAAGTTATTTTTGATTAATGACATGGAGATAATAATATGTGAATTGAGTAAAAAAAAAATTTTATTATTATCAAATATACCATCTTCGTTTAAAGGAGATATTGCTTCTTGTATTACTGGACAATTATCAGGTAAATATATTCGAAGTGGAATATGTCTTGGAACTTGGCCATCATTAATCACTAAACGATAATTCACGCTCCAAAATTTATCATAATCCTCTTTTTACATTAATAAAAGGTGGAAAATCAGGAGTATGGTGGTGGTGTCATAGTAGTTAAAGATAATAATTTCATATAATATTTCTGTATTGTATAAAAATAAAATAAAAAGGATACTAGACCATAATCCATCCCAAAGCTGTGTTTGGTCATTTTTTGATAAGTTCATTACTTTTTTTGTTGTGCCATTTCTAAGAAAATCTGCCTGGAAACAACAACAACATTATTATTTAATATTATTTTCGAATTATCGATTAATAATTAACAATTAATAATTGATTTATTTAAATTTTAAAAACCCCTACTTCTTTAATCATAGACATGAAAAAATCTTGAGTAGCGTCAATAGCCTGAGCTCTTATTAATTTATCTGCAGGAAAGTCTTTAAAATGAACAGTTACAGACCAAGGTAATGGCGGAGGACTATTTGAATCTGGTCTATATCCTGTATGTAAATCGAATAGTAGTCCAATTGGATAATGCCTTTTTATTAATTATCATCATCATCATTATTATTAATTATCAATTATGGTGATGTTGATGATGATGATGATGATGACGAGAGAAGTAAATAGTGGCAATATATATATACACACATACACACACTTACCATTTCAAAGGTGTTCCATCAACATCATACCATATTTCTGCATCATCAACAATAAAATTCATCGCCATATCACGAAAGTATTTTCTTATTACACTTGTTAATAGTGGGAAATACGAACAACGAGGTGCTTCTATCTATCACAATTAAATGATGAGAATGAATGATGAGAATGAAAATGAAAGATTGCTAAACCCGAAAGTTTGAAAAACTTACAAAATAAGGTTCAATCGTTTCTACGCCTAATGCTTCAGCCTCGTCAGTATCTAAAGAAAATTTAATTGGCAAGGCACCATCCCAAATGGCTCTAGCGATTGGATTTTGAGGTGCTGTCATTTTTCTTATTTTTTTAGAAGACAACAGATAAAAAAGAAGTTACACGGGTAAAAATTTTCGAAAAAATTACCTAAATATAATAATAATCATCATAATTACAATAATAATAAAAATAAAAATATACAATCAATAATAACAATTATTATTGTTTAAAAGAACTTTATAATATCAAGTAGAAATTCATCAAATTTCTGTATTATATGAAGATGAAAAAAATAATAAAAGGGAAGGTGTAAAAATAGGGGTGGTAGATGTAGAAGGAATGATGAGAAAGTTGAAATTGAACATATTGATAAATCATTATATCCAGGATTTTTCCCAGAAAAAAATGAATTAAATGAATTAATCGATGAAGATGAAAATAATGATGATGCAAAAGAAGCCGGAGATTTTACATGGTTTGTTGATCCTAAATATGAGAATCCTCAAGGAATGTTGTAAATTTATACCCATGTGGCATCCAGATTTGTTTCAGATCCGTCATCAACAATATCAAAATGAAGGGGAAGGAGAATATTTAAAAGATGAAGATGCAGAAAATATTACAATTAAGTTATTGATGTTAACAAGAAATCCGATTTTTCAGATTTGATGGTGAAGGAAAGAATTCAAGGCATTTGGTGTCACAGTTGATGTAATTACAATTTCTACTTGAAAAAGAAAGAGAAGAAACAAATTTAGATCTGTCCAATTCATTGTCACTAACAAGTTGCAAATAGTTGAAGGAAGAGATTCGCAAATATAATATTTAATTATTTTATTCAATAAATAGAAAAACTGGTTGAGCTTACATGAAGGTTAAATAAAATAGAAGCAAGCTGTCAAAGCCTTTGATAATATAAAGAAAATGTATTTGATTTGAATTCAGAACTTAATGAAATGGTAAATATATATTATATATAATTTTTTCATTACTTTAAAAATAATGACTCAATACAACAACACAAACACATATTTTCATTATCCCGATTACACAAATTTCAACAGCGGAACTTAGTATTAATATTAGAACATTCCCAAAATTCTAGCTTGTTAATAGAATTAGGTTTATTTGAAATCTCAACAATTCCCTAAATTAGAATCTCAAATTTGCTTAAAATTGATTTAATTCAAAATGAAAGGTTAATTTGATCAAAGAAACTAAAGAGAAATATGATAAAGCAATGAAAAACCATCTGAAGATTGAATATCTCAACCTTTTGCTGATATATATAATTCGGCGTTCTGATGTCTGTGGTATCAATGGGACAATAACATTTTAGCAGTTTGGCACACAATAATAAAGATATATGAAGGAGTAAGACCTGGATTTTTGATTACGACCCCAAATTTTTATTTCAATAATTACAGCATCTATGGATCCAAATGCAGTTTATAAAAGTAGATTATTGAAATTTACAAATCCTCCATAACCTGTAAATGATAATAGTAATGGTAATTGTTAGCTTAATACTTATATTATTAATTATTTTCGCTTTTAAAGTATAATATTGACCTTAGCTCTCATCAAATAAATTTAGACACATAAGTTAATAAAAAGCACACAACTTAAAGTAACAGATTATAGATATTAATTATCTCCAATGGATTCCTTACGATGATTAAAAGCTACTGCAAAGATAAGGAAAATGGTTTCCCCACCATATACAAAGCTAACTAAAAATATTGATGGAAGATTTATGAAGATAGCATTAAAAAAATTACACTATTCTCAAAATATTTCTGATGAATTTTTGAATGAAGTTATTATTGTTCCAATCACTGGAGAATATATATTTGTGAAATGAAATATACAGTAAGTGGACAAAAAAGCAGTAATCAATTTAGAATATAGCCACTCAGATGCCTGCCTATTATCAAGATGGGTTGTCTGTATCTGGAATTATGTTATGGGAATCAATTGGATTGAACTGCAGGGAAAGAGTTTTTAGAAGAACCAATTATAATTTACAAATCCGATTCTTTTTCTTGTATTCCTATTTTCCAAAAAAAAAAACAATGCACAACAGAAAAGTGATTAGCTCTTGGGGAATTTCATAATGCATTTATATCACCAAAATCACAGATTATAATATTATATGTTAAGTTCTTAAAAAATATAAAGACAATTTGTGCACTTTGAGGAATGTATAATTGGTTCCAGAAACCATTGCTAAAGTAATTTTGATCTATTTTGATTATCAATTTATAGTCCCTTACAACAAAGTTATAAATCAAAAATTGAACGTGAGAGATTCAGTTATTATTTCTTATGCAGATGGTAAAATTTATCAAGCAACAACTATTAAACGATATATGAGAAGCCTTGGACATGAGATTGGCCTATGTACGGAGTATAATGATCAGATCAAAACAATGTTACAAAGATTCACAATTTCATCCTTGAGAACTAATGCATAATCATGAAATTAACTCTTTTGAAGAAAAGGTTGAATATATATTTAATTAGGTATTTCATCTGGTACAATTAATTTGACCTGGAAAGAATATTTATATTAACGATTATAACATTAAGTTTTTTAAATTATTTAAATATTTCATAAATAATGTTAATAATTACCATTATAATTGCCTTAATAGTTACTTTATTAGAATTTGCAGGTTGAGGAATATTTGTAAATTTTAATAATCTGCTAGTATAAATGGCATTTGGATGAATTGTTGTAGTAATTATTGAAGTAACAAAATATATTTTGTCCGTTTCATCAAATATTTTTCTAATTCATCAATTTGTTGTTTTAAATATTTTATAATATTTATTATCAAGAGACCATTTGATAATTTGTCACTAAATGAGCTAGACCAAAATTCAATAATATTGTGAACTTCTTTAACATCCATACATATATCTGTATGCTAATTCAATGTGAAGCTTAGGGAGTATTGTTTGAGAATCAGGTCTTGCACTTTCATTGCAAGACCTAAATTACCACTCTGGTAGTACATGATGATTTTTGACTAACTGGGATTTATAATCCTAATCTGCAACATTTACTGATATATAATTTATATTGATCTTTTGAGCCTCTCAAGCACATTTATACTAGATCATTAAATTATTGCTGAATTAGGCTGTATTCGCAGTAGTGTTGGTCGCCAAAACTATTTTGAAGAGGTGAAAGTCAAAACTAAAATTAAAAGTTATATGTCAAAACTAAATCAAAAGTCAATAGTCAAAAATCAAAACTAGTTTCGACTTATGGCGAAACCTTTTGACTTTCGCACGATTGCGAAACTCTCGAGTTTTGGAAACCAACACTAACCTACAGTCAACTCTCCATAAGTGCATGCTATGTCTCATTCCCAACCTTGGGACTTAAGAGATAAATGCATCCCTCCGTAAATGCACTGCACGATCTTTTACCAATCCCATTTATATAAAACCACCCTCTCTAAATGCACGTCCGTGACTTTCATGTGATC